CCCTCCTCCCCTTCCCCCATCTGATTACACACAAAATGTTCTTCTGCTTTTAAGGGCAATTTAACACTAGTTAAACTACCGTTAGTTTAAATCAAACAAGTCTGAAAAGACAGAACATGCTGCACTGCTATTAAAAACAGCTGAATCTTCATTTGTTCCATCAGACACTGCTGGCCATTTCCTAGCCAGTGCTATCTGGCTGACCAAAGACTTCTTTCTGTAGATTTTTATTAAAGCCTTTGTTGGCTTTCACAAACACAGTGCTGTCCCCTTTGGTATCAGAAAGATTCAAATCCTTCCATCAAACTGCTTTTTCTTGCAAAGTAAGGGAGAAACTGATTAATACCAATTAATCCGACACTAAGTTCAACCCATTTCCAAGAGCAAAACCAGGTGACCCTCCAGCACCAAAGTACAAAATAGCTTAAGGAGGTAAAAAGGAAAGCTTTGCTCTGCCATGTTTCATAGGCCTGTCCTCAAGAAAATCCCAAGTCACTGGTATCCAGACTTTCCTGGCAGTTGAGCCAATCCACAAGCCAGGCTAGAAGAGACATTCCTGCCCAGCAGCTCTATTGGCACTGCAGCATTGGCAGTTACAAACCATTTTTTTTTCCCCCCTTTCTTCCTGACAGGAAAGCCAGTCCACATGAATTGAAAGCAGTACAGAAAACACAGACAGGGGGATCAGATGATCCCTACATTTACAAGTTTTCTCCCAAATAATACACGCCGATGCGTGTACAACAGTCTATGGCTTCCATATGGATATCTCCACCCTGAGCAGAATATCTGGCAAGAGTTTCATTACCCCAAGTGCTGTCTGCTGGAAGACTGCAGCAGATAGCAACTGCCCCAGATTAAGTTCAGTCTTAGAGAAGACACTGGACCCAGGTAGGGAATACATCCAGCTTCAATTCCCTGCCTACAATTATTTCTCTTCAATTGCTCTCGCTCCCCCTGCGAGCCTGCTGACCACACGTTGACTTTGTGTCAGTCCTCGCACAGCTGGTCAGGTCCAAACTCAGCTCTGCCAGAGCCAAAGAAGAGGGGCTTTAGTTCAAGCCTAGCGAAGGCTGCGTAGAACTCGGTTGGGTGAAGCACCTGCCGATACCTTTGTTATTAGAGCAACGCAGATCCCTGAACCCTCCCACACTTGTTATCCATTCGGAAGAGGACCATGAGACCAGACTCTGGACACCTCCCACATACATCAATTCTCATTTGAGAGCAAAAGCAGCTCCCACTGTTCAGTGCCACTTGTTGGCCCGATGTTTCCCTGAAACATTTGCAGATATAATGCAACGTCCAGCTCTGCTACATTGCCCTGATAGCTCTTTCTATGAGCCACTTGTTTCTGCCTCAGAAAAGTCTCTTCTATCTCAGACACCAAATGAATCCTCGGTGTTCGGCAAGAGAGAAGAGATTTTTATTTTACAGCTAGAAGAACAAAGTCCAAAGAGAACTATTGATATTTTAGAGATAAGAAAAACTACAACATCTTTCAAAATGAGTAACCAAACAGATGCAGAAACAGCCAAAAGTATGGGCTATTCTATGACTATATTCCCTGGGATCTACACAGGACACTGATGTAAAGAAGCAACTTCCGTACTGTTGAGTGTCTTTCACTCCAATACACACACAAAACAACAGCCCCTCAAAAACCCAAAACAACAAAAAAGTAAACAAACCAGTCAGGCTTCATATATCCTCCCTTAGAGAATATACAATTCAAACAATTATACAGTATTTGTTTAAAAAAAAAATCTGCTATTAATGATGTTAAACTGATGTCACTCAACCTCAGACATTGCTACTTGAAGTCTTATCAGGTGTCACCAATGAACTAATTTCATCATGAGATGAACAGACAAATTTCAAGGGAAGGTGCCTGAAAAATCATTACCCTGAGATTCACAGTATTTTTGATGTAAAAATACAAGATTGATATAAACATCTATAATCCAGAATGCAAGTCTTGGATTTTTAACTCTTGAAATAACGCAATTATCAAGGCACATTTAAGTACATGCACTTTACAGGAGAACACCAAGATAAGTTATAGGTGAGGTTCTTTATAATCTTTACCAGATTTTCCCCGATGAATCAGTCTATTCCCTTCTTCGGACCATGCCAAAACAGGCTACAGGTAGCAGGGCCAAAGTCTACTCATACTGCCCAAAATGTCTCTTCTTTTTAGAGCTTGTCTCCCACTAGCTTCCTCTGATGCACCCTTGGGTTTGGACTAGAAAAGACAGTGAGAAATGATCCCTGCACACCCTTTATCACATGCCTCCTGATTTTATAACCTTGCTTTGATGGGCCAAAAGCCATGCAATGGATTAAGGGACTTGATTTATCCTTACTGCAAGACTTCAAGATGTTTCAAGTACTAACTCTGTTTTTAATGATTAGCAAGAGTGAATTAAGCAGAGCGTGTGTCACTGACCTCTAGCTTCTGTGTACTAACCTACTGTTTCAGCGGTGTTCGACACCTGCTGCAATTCCAGCATCACAGTCTACTTTCTGCAAGCACATACAGCTACGTAAGCCAATCACAGTCCAACTCTGAATTTCTGCAGGGACCTAAAAGAGACAGGCCACAGTTAATCTTGAGTACACTTCAATGAGAAGGGTAAGGTTCACTCCCCAATATGATATGGAAGAATTCTTAATGAGATTTGATAATAACTTCTTCAAAAATATGAGTTGATTCAAAGAAACAAGGCCTTCGGAAGAGTTCAGAGTGTGACTGCAAGTAATAAATAAATTTACAGCAATTTTCTAAGTTTCTTTTCACTTTCCAAGAACAACAGCTCTCAAACTCTGCAGATTTGCTACCTCAATTTTAGAATATAGAACAGGATGCTGATGGGTCAAATTTCTTCCTGGTACACAGCAGAAAAGCTCCATTAATAATTTTGTAGATTCAGTGCTACTTTTGCAAATACATTACGTATACTGATGTGCTCTGAAGTGTCAAGATAAAAAGTGCTACAATTGTAAAAACAAATGACCAAGTCCACACCCTATTGACTCAGTACCTGTTTGCTGCCAGGGTTTATCTGCACAAAACCCCCAAACACATTAATCCCATGGGTTGTTCCACTTATTAATGAGCCTTGCATTTTGATTTTCACACAGACATACAAGTACTTGAGAACTGCATTTAGTGAAGAGCAATGATTCAGCCTAGCATGAGTGGTAGATGAAGATACTCCAGCTACTGAAGCATAGTAGATGCTGTTGAAAGCTGCACCTTTTGTACCTGCCGGGTGTAGTTCTACAGAGCATACTGAAAATCGGCACAGGATCTCCAGGGGCAATGGCTACAGACAACAGCTCTCACACTGAAGCTCTGCTACACCGAGCTCACAGAAAAGTACTTACATCTCCATTTCCCTCTTGAGATACAGAAGGACTATGGGCTTACTCCACAGCTAAGCTCATGCAATGAAAGACATTCCAAACCTACTGGCACCCCAAGTTTTATTATTATGAGCCACGCAAAAGCAAACACAAGAAACTTTGTTTTATCCCACAACCATAATTCTCCTGGTACTTTATTTCGAGTCATCATTTCTAAAGCATGAATTCACAAACTAAGGCAGAAGATGCAAGACATGTAAGAGCACAGAGTGAGGAAGTAAGATTCTGACAATAACTTATGATCAATTACAAGAAATATTATAACAAATATGAATCAAATATTGCTCCAATGTAGCCAGCTAAGTTTAAGTACAATTGTGCAAAGTGAAGCATAATTCTTTTGTGATTAATTTTTCTCATTAAAGTAACCATGACAATAACCACACATACTTACAGAAATATTATTCACTTGAATAATTTAGTAGGGATCCTGATGCTTAGAAACCTTCAGAAAACAGAATCAAATTCAAGTTCACAGATTTACAAGCATGAAAGGAGACAGAAGTGAATAAAGCATTACTCTTGCTACAAATAAGGAACTTCAGACCAAGATTTTTAAAGACTGTTTTCAAAATTGTCTGCTTTCAAACGAATTCAGGCCATTAGCTCTACTCTAATTTCCACAAGGCTTATTCCATGCCAAGAATCTCCAGCAAAATTGAGTTGTAAGATGTCATAAGAAACCCCACATGTTGTCTGACAGAAGAGATGTCTATACAGGCAAATAATTTATTTTTTTTTAAAAAATACCAGTTCTGGCGTGACTAGGAAATCTTGACACAAACTCTAGATCCGTCAATAGATATTAAAACAGTAAAGAAACTGGGTCACGCTCTGTCACCTAGGAAGGGCTGGCTTAAATCAAGAATGCAAAAAGATTTCATTTTGCAAAATGTCAGTGATTATCCCACTTAAGTTAAATGCAAAAATAAAGCACACCAAATAACCCAAAGCACGTTTTTTTTTTCAATGTAACATAGGTGAATTTACAATGGCAGAGAGAAATAACTATTTCAGCACATCAGTGATCTTACTAACTCATTTAAATGGCCATAGCTCTCCTGTATTCCAAAGTGTAAAATACAAATCATAGCTGCAGACCAGTATTTACCAGTGCTCCAACTGCTCCAGATTCATCATATTTTAAAACCTCGCTCACAAGACACTGATACTCATTTTACAGGCAGGAGCTGAAACGACATCACGCAGTCTATGAGCCAGCTAGAGGGGGCCATCCAGACTTTGCCCTGACGAATTTTCTCTGGCTTGAATTTAGAAGACACATCATAGATTACATATTGAGTGCAAAATCTCTGGTCGGAAGTCGACTGTGCATGGTACGCCACCGTGTTGATCGTCTGCGTCACATCACTGTCTGGTTTTGGCTGCCTAACGAGAATTTGTCCTCCTGCTGCTTTGACCAACTCCACAAGATCACTCTTCTGGTGATGTTTGAAGGATCCCAGAAAATAGAAGTAGCATCCATCAAACAACTTAGGCAGCTAAGCGGAATTAAAACAACAAAAAAAAAGTGTAAATACAGGACTTCACAACTGAGCACATGGGAAAAGAGTGGAAAGGAACAATCAGTACCTACAAAAAAAGGATATACAATTTAAAATAACCAACACTGAAAGCCAGAACAGTAACTTAACATGTTAAGTTTCAGCATAAGTATGCAGCCAAGAAAAGCTTGCTTACATGGTAAATTCTTGCTTATATTTAAATATTTTCCAGCACAACAGGGTTTAACTATGAGCTAGGAATATTTACACCTACTGTCGCAGTACATTTAATGAACTTCTCCAGTGTAATCCAAAAAATAACCAGAAATTAACACAGCTAAATATAAGAGTGGCTCTATATGGAAACAAGTAATAAGAACATTTTTCTTTCAACTTTCAGATCTTTTCAACTGGGTTCTAAAGCTGAGCAGAAAGGGCCAGAGAAGCATCAAATTCCTGCCCTATGCAGCTTCTTCCATGAATGCAAATACAGGGTTTGCTCTGACAAGGTTATAGCAACATATCCACTAATAGAGAAAAAATGACAGCTTTATGGGTGTTCACGGTTCTTTTGATCACCTTGTACATAATCAAATTTCTGTACAGGATCACATTAAAATTTTACGTCTACCACACATGTGGCAAAGGGCAAAAATGCACGAACCAGAGGTCATTAAGGTAATCTGTCTCAAGCAATAAAACCCACCAGCTGTTCTCTGTTGAGCCGGCCTCTTTGCGGGCCACCTTGAATTTCATACTTCTCTTCTTGTTCTCGTACTGCAGTTTGTAGACAGGCTTGTACCCCTAAAAAAACAGCAATAAGGAATGCAACAATTAGAGATCCCATATTTTAACAGAGATCTGCATGTCATTTAGGCACTAAAAAGTTGCACTAAAATAAAAGTATTATCCATAATGCAAAACATAGCGTCAAAGCTTGTGTGCTTTAGCAATTTGCTTTGAAAAACTTTACAACACTGGTTGAAAGTACAAGTTAGATGGAGAGAAGCAATATCACAATAAAATCAGTGCTGTAAACACTAGGAATTATTAGCTTTTCCTCTTAACCACTAAAGGTCAACCACTTAATGTCAGATGTCAAATTGCTGATCATTTGGAAGCTTAAAGCCAGCGTGTAGAACCAACTCCACAGTTACAAAACGGAAGCAATTGCCTGATAAAGAGCAATTACAAAGAAAGCACAAAGCTGTTTCCAAATAGCTCTGGCCTCTAATAACAAATCAGATGGGATTTCAAGATCTCCAGGATCAGCACAAACTGGAGATTTATGCTAGGGTTTTAACAGTGGCATTAGTTTCCCTTACCACTGCTGCATAATGAGATTGTCTTTTAGAGTCAACATGTTTTCACCTTGTTTTAAGGCTAGTTATTTTTTCCAATCAGGAACACGCTGATGCTAATGTATTGCTAACATCAGTTTAACATACCACCTGACCTCACTTTGGGAAGAGAAATTGCTGTGGTCACCCATTCAAAGACAGAACATTTTGCCTGCACATACATTGCTCTCATTAATAAAAATCACCCAAGAAAGAAAGTTTGCGCAGCTTTTCTTAGACAACTTATTTCTATGGTGTAAGTATCAAACCCACAGTATTAAAAAAAAGAAAAAAAAAAAATGGCAAAACCACATACCCTCAAACTAAACAAAATCGGAAGTAAAATGTGGGGGGTTGATCTTGAAAAGGAAGAAAGCCCAAGACTATGAAGAGAAGTATCACTAACACAGGTATTTGGAGATCATGGCAGCCAATAGATAAGAATATCTAATCTAGAGATATCTTGAAAGCCAACTGTTAGCAATTTACCATCAACTCATTACAAAATGTAATGGGAATTCATATTTTACTTATGCAAAGTCTTCCAATGTACTTACATTAAGAAAATCCCAAACCTACGCAGAAAGGCACAATTGGCTCAATACTATGAAAATATGCACCTCCCTCCATGCACAAGTACCAGGTTATTTGCGCTTGCTCATTCCTTCAAGGACAATTAACACGAACTGGAAGGGCAACCTAGTCATGTGTCTTCTGGAAAAGCAACCTACATATTCATTATTGATAACAGCAATATATACCAATAACTTATTTTCAAAGCACTCACAGCTCAAAAATAAAAGTTATTTCATATCACCACAACCCAATAAGACTTCCTGTATCAATTTGTTTTTAACTTACACAGCTATTGTTTCCTTTCAAGAAAATACAGTTGTTAACAGATGTCACCTACAATAAAGGAAAAATCACCTCCTCTAGTCTTAAGAACAGAACTCTCCACTCATTAAGAGCATCTTTTATTTCAATCTATCATCAAAAGCTCAACTTTCAAGGGCTTTTGCTGCAGAGCTGAGGTTTTTATACAATGATTACACCACAAATTGAGCTTTCAGTGCCAGCATCAGTGAACGAAATGTGACACAAAAGTAATAAAAGGTTGAATAAATATAAGCCTCTAATGCCTTTTTGTCAGAAAAAAAAAAAATCAAAGTGGCTAATGTTAGTGGAATATCTATGTAAGAAAGTGCAAAACAGGAAAGGTGGGGAAGGACTCTTTAACAAGGAGTGTAGTCATAGGACAAGGGGTAACAGTTTTAAAGTGAAAGAGGTTAGATTTAGATGAAATGTAAGGAAGTTCTTCACTGTGAGGGTGGAGAGGCACTGGAACAGGTTGCCCAGAGAAGCTGTGGCAGCCCCTCCCTGGAAGCGTCTGAGGCCAGGCTGGACGGGGCTTTGAGCAACCTGGTGTAGTGAGAGGTGTCCCTGCCCATGGCAGGAGGGTTGGAACTAGATGATCTGCAGGTGTCTTCTAGCCCAAACCATTCTGTGAGTCTATGACTACATCTGTTTCACATTCATATGTCTTCATTTCATACTGCCAGGTCCTCCAAGGAATCTGTATGCCTCAAAGTCCCTTGCCTCATGTAATAACAAGCGCCCAAAAGAACAAGAGAGACTCATCTGCATGTGTCCCATTTTCATTGCATCCAATTTTCATTTCATCCATAAGAACCACAAGACAAATAATTGCCTCCTTGAAAAAAACGGGAACTATGCAAACAAAACATTCGTCTAGCCACTGTCTACATGATCTGCATTCTCATTAATTTTAACTTCTCTTAATCAGCTAGAATCAGAACAGATCTGTGTCTTAACAGATTTGTGACACAAAAGCTATATATTCCAGCTAGGATAAAAAGTCACAAATGTAATTTTCAGTGCCCAGGTGTTTTCCTTTAACATAAATATATTAAAGGACAACACTGTAACATCTACACACACATGCCCTTGTTGAACAACAGATTCTGTATGGTTTTTTGGTAGTTAAAAAATAGTACACTTTCAATTCCCAAACATAATTTTCAGCAAGGTGTAGAAGCAGAACTTGCTCTGACTCATGGGTTTTGTCATATTTGACAGATAAGATAAAAACAAATGCTTTTTTATAATCATTGTGCTCAGGGACATTTCAGGTAGTCTCATCTAACACACTGTCTACATGTGGGTAGCAAAAGAGGAATCTCAGTCAATGGAATCCTTGAGCTCAGAGGAGCTCCATGCTTCAACATACTTCACGACAATCTTGCCATCAACAGCATTACTAATCCGTAATAACAATATCACTTGGAAAGAGACACAGACAGGATAACAGCAAAAGGAGAATCTTAGGCACAAGGAAATGAAACAAATGACGTGTCATCAGAGTCACGGTCTAGCTATATATTCAGAAAACTGATGCAGTTAGCAACGATGATTGAGGCAGGGGCTTACAACCCTAAGGTGAACAGTCAGGGAATATCTACCCATGAAGGAAGGCTTCCTAACTAGAAGGAAGCTAAAATAATTTAATTGAGGTCTTTAACAGCTGACTTTTTTCAGACTGATTTCTTTCCAAGTTGCTCATTTCATTTCAATGACTCCTGAATACTGGAAAGAGACTTTATATTAAAGGATTAAAGGATTCGCATACCGTAATAAAAAACCAAATCAGTAGGGGAAAGAAAAAGGGAATATCCCCCATTCTCATATTGGAGATAAAATTACAGAGGGCTCAAGCTGTGCTTTTACCTAATTCATTATTCACATATCTAAACAAAAGGTTCTTATTTGTCTGTTCTTTTCCCCTTTCTCCACACAAAACTTCACATGAAGTCACTAAAAAACTTCACATGAATCACTAATTTTGCACTATCGCTTTCAGATGCAGGGACTCCAGCTGGATGCAAAAGTCTAAGTGAGCTTCTCAAAAAACAACATAATCAGCTTTGGTTGTGTTAAGGTGTCATCTGGAAGCACCAGGCATGCACAAGCGCTATCATTCTTCTAATAGATGGTACAATGACCACAAGATGACTTTGTGCTGAGAACTCTCAACATCCCACTTCAGAGGAGGGATATAAACAGAAGATTAGAGCATACTGTAGACCCCAATCGGGGTGGTTTTTTTTAAACCACTGGGGATTTTATTTTGACAACTGAGTGCTAAGCTGAGTTCACTCAGTAAAGCCCAGGTCTTTTTCTTGAGTAGGCATTATTAATTTTAAAACTGCTAACGTGTGTAAGTGGTGGGATAACATGACAGTTCCTTTGTAATAGTCTCTTCATCTGATTGTCATCCTGATTAAGAGGACATAAAAAAGGAAATAAAATTCTATACTGTACTCAGAGGTATCACTCCACTACTTCTAAATGGATATTTCCAGCTCTTACTGACCTTACACTACTCCTATTTAAGTCAGAGGTACAGCACTCTCTGACTTCAAACAGGAGCCCATGTTAAACTGATTTCTGGAACTCCTGAGATTACAGACCCTCGTTTGTTCCGCACTGTAACAAAAAGCCACCAGTCAGAACTTGATGCCAAGGCATGGCTCAAACGAATAAACAACAACAACAAATTGTTATCATCACAATGAAAAAGCAATCAGGACACCAATCAGTACTATGCCACCTCCCTTCTGAAATTGAGATAGGCACCTTAAGTACTTACGGAAAAAGAATTCAGAACAGGGCAGTCTCACCCTTAAAGAAGCTCTCTGAAAACAGAGGGGAAAGCAAATTTACTTTTAAGAGGGCACCTATAATTTTAGGAAGGGATAGAGACCAGGGTTGTGTCCTTTCCCTCCCACATTCACAGCCTGCACATTCTTTACACGCAAGCCATTCAACTTACTCAGGATCTCAGCCAATCTTGATTTATTCCTTGATACTACTGCCAATAAGAGCTGTGAACCTTTAAGGCTGATCAAGTTTATTCATTTAATATATTCTTTTTCCTAAAGAGAAGAGGGTGATTACTGCAACTACACTTTAATGGCCCTCTAGTTTAATCACAGCAGTTGAATCAATTACCCACAAAAGGGTAAAGACTCATACCAAGGCAAGTAGCATTTTTCCATTTCATATGGGCCACAGTTGTTTTGCAGTGCCCCATTCAAGTGTGCAAGCACTCATTAATTTAACACACCTGGCAGAAAACCATACTGGGGTAAGATCGCATATGCAGAAAGGTCACACAAGGTTCTTCCCTAGAAATACAAAATATTAGAAGCTTAAAAGCCTCTTAAATAGCAGGTTTCACACTTGCAATTTGTAGATATAAGCAAGATCATTTGCACCAAATTCTAGCAAAAAAAAAAAAAATGAGCTTGCATTAAAGTCCCTAGAAAGTATTGCTGAAAAGGCCTTTAGCTTAATACAACCGCATTAATGCCACCACATTTGGCAAGGAGAATACTGCTCTTTTTTGCTCATTAGCAAGATCAGTAAAGCATCACTACTTAC